TGGTGCTATGTTCTGTACTTGCTTCTTTTGCTCGCCAGACGGACCTATCTTCACTAAACCTTTCATAACTTTTGATCGCACCGTTAGAATGACCTCAAATGTCTTCCAAATGAAAGCTAACTCGATTACCTAGCATGTGGCCAATTTTCAGCTCGATCCATCGGTGGAAAGGGCATCAACAAGTACCCAACTTCTAACCATTTTCTGCATCTTTGCTTCTATTCCTTGCTCCTTTGGTTTTTGACCTCCAAAGTGCCTATAAATGACTCAAGTACTATGCAAATGCAATGAAATGTAATCTAAAACTCTAAAACTCAACTTATTCTATATGAGACTCAAAATGATGAGAAATATGCAAAATGAAAGTATAATGACTATAAAAGCTAAATAAATGTATAATAAAGATGCTAAAATATGAATGCATCAAGTGCCATTTAAGAGATACCAAGTTAACATCATTTGGAAGAACCTCCAGCCCTGTGCATCCTGTCATGTTTAAATCCACCAGTTTTTTTAGATTCCGATCTGAAGAAGGAAGCATCACTATGCTTTTGCAATCGTTGAGTTCCAAACTGTCAAGATTGGTGGCCTTTGAGAGATCTGGAAACTCTTTCAGGTTTTCACATCCTGCCAAATCCATCCTCACGAGATTTCTAAGTGACTGAAACAGAAAAAAAAAAACAAGAACCATGCTTCAACTGATATTAAAAGGTGTATTAAAAGGTGAAGAAAAATAAACTATATTCAAATAAGGAGGCTTTGTTTTTTTCCGTTGAGTAAAAGGACATCAACACTCATGCAACGGATGGACATAGACGTCCTCATCATATAAATAAGAAACCTCCTATATATTTGAATAGTCTGAGTTTTTAAGGGTGTGAAGTCGTTTTTGATCAATTATTGGAGAAAAACCTGCATTATTGATATCACATTCTAGTTACTGACCTTCAAGCTTTAGATTTAGTTCCCTATTCTTAACTTGCTTTCTTTTGTTAAACCACTCTAGTTGAATCATAATTTTAAGCTTTACAATAGTTTCCACATGGTCTGCATGCATTCTAGTTACTGACCCTCAAGCTAAGACTATTTCAATTTGTAAGTTATAACTACGAATGCCAAATGAGCTAACAGTGAATTTTAAGGGAAAATTACCCGGTGTTCTTCCCATAACTTCTCAAGCTTACTAGCTCTCAATGTGTGATAAACGAGATTTTCTGAGCGGAAGTTAGGAGGCAGACATCTCATTGGGCAACCGAGTTTAGTAAGCCCATAGATATTCTGAAGGTAGAAAGAATCTTCTTCATCTATTGCAGTCCCATCTAAAATGAGCCCTGAAATGTTGCTTGAAATTCGAGGAAAACGTCTCAACCTTGAGCAGCCACTGAGATTGAGGTAATCAAGACAACCCAAGTTGATATTAGTAGACAGAACCTCAAACTTTGTGCATCCCTCCATCGATAGCTTCCTCAGTTTATTGAGATTCCGAATTGAGGAAGGAAGTGTCACCAAAGATGTGCATCCCCAAAGGTTCAGTTTTTCGAGATTTATGGCATTTGAAAGATTTGGAATTTCTTTCAACTTCTTGGACCCATCCAATCTTATCTTCTTGAGAATTTGAAGTGGCTGAAACAAAATGGTAGAAAAGACACTACACACGCTCAAAAACTTTTGTTTTTGCTTTGTCGATATTCATAAATCGAACTGAATAAAGAGAAAATAATGCTCAATAATGCTCTTAACATAAAGAACTAAGTTAAACCACTGAAGACTAAGAAACAAAACATAAAAGTAGTACCTGGTCTCCTTCCCACAACTTCTCAAGTTTGCTATCCTCCATCGTGAGATTAACAAGAAATTCAGCCCTAAACTTGAAACGTATACACGTCAACGGATATTCATCCCAATATAGCAATCTGAGTTTACGGGGCAAATAAATAAAGCCCTGAGGTAAATACAATCTGCCTTCACCAGTCTCCCGTGACCACTCTTTGTAAAATTCTAGGAATGTGAGATTACGCATTCCTTTAAATGATTGTTCATTTATAAACAATGTCTCGTCGATTTCTGATGTGCTGAAACACGTGCCTAGCACATTTTCTGTGCCCTGAAAAGAAAATTTCCACAAAAGAGTAATAGTATGTTGATCAGATACTACCAAATGACTTCCATAAATTCAAACATGAAAAGCATAGCTTCACAAAACCATGAGGTGGAGACTTTCAGATGGGAAATCCACCTCGTAAAAGCGCGATAATGGAATTGGCGAGAGAGTTGACCGAAAAGAGCTCTTCCAATGGTACTCTTACCAATCCCCACAATCCCTACCATCTTCACTTCCTCAGATTCTAAGAGCAACATGTCTCCAAATGAGTTTCGATCCCAACCAAAAA